CCCATGTGATACCAGTATTATAAAGTCACCACACACAGAGAAGCTGCGCAGACTCCTCAGGAGAGAGCCTCGGGCTGAAGCGACTCTCTCTTCCTAGCAGCCCAGGACTTATCCGTATTGGGAGGATGTTCGCTACTACGTAGACAATGAAGTCCAAGACCGGAAGCTGAGGGCTTGCTCAATGTGGAAACTTGAATCTAACTATAGGAACTCTGCAGCAAATAAAGCCTAAAGGAGGATACTGCTCGTGGAAGTTGACTAGGTTCTCGTCAAAACCCCTTCTTCGTAGTATGTCTAAGGCCGATATCCATTCTCTTGCATGAAATCTTTACATATGGGGGTGAAAGGGGGCTTTCTAAGCTCTTTAGTTTCGGAGACACGCCAAATGCTCCTTGCCTTGCTGTAGCCGAGACGATGTTTACTAGAAGAGCGGTTCCAAGAGGGAGACTCGAAGAACGCAACTCAAAGGTGAAGACTTACATCTTTGCAACGACGAGCAGAGGCCTCTGCCTGGATTGTTGATTTTACTGTTAACTATGAGGAGAAGAGTAGCGAGGGTTGACTCGAGATCACGCTATTAGTCAGGACGATCATGTAGTACTAGCAGCTGACACCAATTGCTCAAACTGATTATCTCATTATACATTATTAAACTCTGCCAGCCAACTTCATCTCCATGAAGAGAATTAAGTGAGTGAGGGTATTTCCTATCCCTACGCCATCTGGTTTATGTGTTTCCCTCGTATGAGGAATTACACCTTTGGCGCTCTTGTGTAAGCGAATGTACTCATTTCTCCTTGTTTTCCTCATTAATTGCCTTTTCTAGGTCGAGAATAAACTTGCGTTAAGCAAAGACTGCTTGCCATCTTCAACTAGTCGACAGACTGTCTCCCTGGATGAGAAGTTCAACGTCAGACCGTGTTTTCCTCAGTCTCAAAAGCATCTCAGACAGCAGGGGTCGCAGCTGGGGCAGGGGCAGGAGCCGCGGACTTCTCAGGGAAGTGGCCGCCCTGGGGAACGCGGCCGTACTGCGTGAAGTAGAGGTTCAGAGCATTGTAGTCCCACTTCCTGGACAGCAGCAGGAAGACAACGGCGCCGCAGGGAATCATGAGAACGTCCAGAACACCAAAGAAGATGAAGTGAGGCGTGACGCCGATGGTGTTGCCGCCCTCGGAGACACCAAAAGCAATGGGGTACAAAAGCCAGAGGAGATTGAAATACCCGGCAAGGATCCAGTAGTCGCCTTGTGTGCCAACGCGCTTCGCCCCGATGCTGCCCTCGGCGAACGTCGACGCCGCCATGACGAGATAGGCAACGGTGCCGAAGACGAAGAAGCCCCACTTGTAGACGGACGGGGTGTAGGCCGAGACGAGGTAGCTGATGACCCAGACCCAGGAGAAAAAAACGTGCCAGACGATGGTGGCCCAGGACGAGTTGGCGACGAGGCCCAGGAGGATGTTGACGATGGGGAAGGCTACGACCCAGTTGATGTACTTGTTGAAGAAGATTTGTCGCGGGGCGCCCGAGCGGGATGTCGTGCCTTGGGTGATGATGGACCAGCCGAGGTTGGAAGCGTTGGAGAAGTACGTGATGGCGCCGACTAGGAGGGCGATGCTTAGGAGGTAGTGGAAGACCTTTTCGTTGCCTCTAGGCTTCCATGAGAGGGCGAAGACGCCGAGCTGATGGTGAAGGTCAGAATGGGAAGATGACACAGGCGAAGTTCAGCAGGAAGTACGCACGAAGAAGACAGAGTAGATAGCTACACAAGTCCATAGCCAGTTGGAGCCGTTGACGCTGAGTTGCTCCTCAATCCCTGGGGTGGAATTGATGTCGAGTGCCTCGTTACTTCGCTGCAAGATCAAACCCATGGTGGTCTTCGCTGTGATCAGGGATTGGTATTGATAGGTGTTTCGCAAAGAATGCGTTTGTAGAGCAAAGTACTGAAACCAGTTTGATATTATCCAAGCTGGGGAAGCCTGTTGGTAGATCTTGGGAGCTTAGTATCTGTGCTGGTGTGATGAAAAAGAAGTTGGTAGAAGAGACGAGAGGGACGTCTTATACTTCTGTTCCCAACTACATACTCCCCATCAAGTTGATGGTAAGATGCTACTCGACGGTTTCCAAGATGCGAAATCACGGCTTCAACGCTGTGTGACTGATGCTACCTTCAAGTCCGAGCCCGCCGACAAGTGGACCTTGGCGATGTGAAGGACTTGCAGTTCAGATGCCGGAGGGACCCATACTTCCCTCCCGACCCACGAACAGTGATGGACAAGGCCGGATGAGACGGGCGGGATAGTCATAGTGACTGAACGATGGAAGGTTCCGTCGATGTCGGGAATCGCAGGAAACATCTTCGAAACAGCAAAGTCCTCCGGTCAGGAGACCTGGTCTTGAAGTCAGCCAAGTCGAAGCAAGGTTTGGTCAGGATGCAACCGCATGCGCCAAGGAAGTGGCCGTCGAGAGGTCCGCTCCCAGGGCTGCCGGGAAGCACCCCGGTACTTGATGAGACTAGTAGGTAGTCTATTTGTTTTCCCTTCTACTGCGTAGCTTACCTCCCTGACCGAGGAGTAGAGGCAATGGCATGGTTGCTGTGGGGAAGGATGGGCCGAGTGTGGAGTCAGAATGTGTTGAGATTATGTGAGCGCCGGAGCCGCTTACGCCGAAAGGTGTCACAGCATATGTCCGTAGCCAGAGGTGTACCTGAGGAGAAGTATCACGGAGTCAAAGGCTTTTGGGGTTCTAGACGAAGCAAGTATACCGTACACTCCGTCGACGGCCAGCCGTCACCCATTAAATGACCCAACACAGAAAAGCGTCAGCCTTCGTTGACCATGAGCCACATACGACACCACAACGTCAACTTGATGCATTGTTGATTCGTTATCAGTTTGGCTGACGTGTATCGCTTTGCTGAAGCCGTGCTCCAGGATGATTGAATAAAGCTCTATGGATCAGAGCATTGCTGGGATCTAGAGATTGGCAAAGAAGCAAATGCCGGCATGCACAGACACCCCGTTCGTCGTTCGCCGTTCCCCACCTGGCATCAACACCAGCCAAATCCTTGCAAACGCTCACCTCCCACATGGTCGCGGCATTGGATGAAGACAGGAGAAATTCGGAAGAAAAAAAAGAAAAGAAAAGAGAGAGAGGAGCGTATTGACGTAATGGCCGCTGGTGCTTGGTTTTTAATCCCTGAAATATCAACTCACCTGATGTGGGAGCCAAAGGACCTCGCGCTCCGGGGGCCCCGGCCGGAGCCCAACCGGCAGACGCTCGGAACCATCGGGAAAATCCCACGACTGCACCCGTCCCGATGACTAAACGGGGGGACCTCATTATAGGCTGGAAGAAACGCATCACATCACACCGGCGAGCCCATCAATTGGCCTGAGATCTACATGTCTACCTACCTACATCAGGCGAGAATTAGCGCTCCCCCTCATTGAACTTATTTGCTTACAGATGGAGGGCTGGTGTTCCCTTTGAAGGAATAAACTCTACGCGGTTACATTGCCTGTCTAACCAACCATTGCCTCGCGTGGTTGCATCATTCAGACCTCAGCCATGTGAGAGGTCAAGATGTAGAGCCTAGAGTTCCTGTGCAGATGTACAGTCTCGATTGATCATTTCGAAACATGGAGCTATCCTACGCTGTCGCGGTCTCGGCGCAAAGTATCACATCGCGATCCTGACTACATGAACCAAACGCCTAGCCCGCTCATTCGGCTCCTTTCAGGACTACATTCGCTACGTAGTACCGGTCAGTAATACCATCCCGGACTTACTTAACTGTTCCTCGATGCGCGGGCTGCAAAGAAAAAAAAATCATCGCAACATGGCATATATCTGACTGCGTCATACCACCTACACACTCACGCGCTCTCTCTGCCTCTTTCTCGTGCACCACATATTTTACCCCTGTCCCGCACTTAGTGACCCTGCCGTCGATCGTGGCCCATCTGTGTCTTCCCTGCACAATGGTGGATCCCTCCCGCGGCCCCTACTCTATTTTCCTCTCTATTTTCCTCTCTCTTTTTTCCAGATCCTTCTCGACCTCGTGATCACAGAGTTTGTGATGATCAGACCACATGAAAGACGCACTCTCCCCGTCCCACCCGCCTGTTCCGAAATGCCAGACAAACACCTTCGACAACAGTGACAAGATAATATCGACCATTACTGCCAAGAAATCCCACATAGGACACAAGATATCCAAGACCCTTGCAGTGCCGGCAAAAGAAAACCCCGAGCTCCGTCCGCAGCGCATGGCCAGAGGTGCATTGTACGTATATTCATCCAATCTACTTTATGGAATACACCACGGCCGAAAGTCCTCATGTGCAACCTCAATCCCATTCCCATCACCAACCAGCAAGCGGCCCTCTAAATGGGGGGGGGGGGGTCCAGGTCAAACTGGGCTGGGTGGTGGAAACGCTTAAAAGGTCAACAATCAATTATGCCCACAGCCTACTCGACGACAGGCTCACGAGTTCCCGAGTTCGATCCCGAGCAGGTGCACCAAGAGATGTGGTCCCCACCGGGGGGTGAACTCTTTTACCGAATGTCAAGCCGAAGCTTGATTGTACTTGTCAGTAACAAATGATAGAGGAGCTTGATATATATCTCAACTCCAAGACGTACCTGATTTCACGCACACATTGGCCCTCAGCATCGGACTTTTGGAACGTCTTGACTGCCAACGCTGGCACATGCCTTTCCATCATTTATCATGTACTCTTTCACCGTGTACAGTAACGCTACGTTAAACCTCATGTACATCTATATCGTACATGCATGCAAGCCCAGCCAATCCAAAACAATTGCCTCGACGATGCATCAACAACTACCACAACCTCGGCACACCGCTGTAGTTTCACCCACCTCTCCGTCTATTGACCCAAGATCCGCTACCGTTGCCCCATCGACCTCTGTTGATGCTCATGCATGACTAGTAACCGGGACAACATCTGATATTGCCAGCGAGACCCATTATCATACTAATATGTGCCAGGCTGCTTCATCTGCCACACTGCACTCTTGGCCCGTTCTCGCACGTCTAATTCGCTGTCGTCTTCTAATCCCTCAAGTTTGGTGAGAAAGCCCAACTTCTTAAGCTCGTACGCCCTTTGGGCACATCCCCGTGCGTCGTTATCGTCGTCCTGCCATGTGAGGTTGCTGATCAAGTGACAAAGGGCAACCCGGACTTCTTTGTCCTTGCTGTTGAAGTGATTCGCCAACAGCTTGAGCAAGTCTGTTTGTGCAATAACCAGTTGTCGATGGCGCGGAATGCTCGCTGCCATGTGAACAAGGATGAACACAACGGCCTCGATGATCTTGGCCTGAGGGTAGAGGACTCGGGCCTCGCGTCCTGAACCCGTGGACCGTCTTGACGTTGGATGTAGTACCTTGGCCTGGAGCTTCCTGGCTAGGATATCAAAAAATCTGTCCTGGCCCAACTCAATGAAAAGGTAGTCAATCATCTCCGTGGTATCGCTTGACGCATCAGGTTGCGTTCCAGATACACCCGCCCCGATCAAATTCCTTATGAAGTCGAGGCCCTGCTCCTGAATGGCGAGGTCATCGTTACGGGCTTTCCGCAAAGGGTTGATTTCGGCCTCCCGAAGAGCTGCCAGTCTCGCCTCGGTTTGACGTAACTTGGCCGATCGTTTGCCGTCTGCGTCCTGTGAACCCAACCACGATTTAGACAACGGATCAGCCTGATCCATCTCGACATCGCCATCCAAATCGTCTCCAGTGTCAACAGCATTCTGCTTGTCCAGCTTAGACCTAGCAAGGAACAGAGCATCATCTTCCGTATCGTCACAAATAAGCTGCACAAGCCATCCAGACTCAAGCTCTTCCAAGCATTGCCTCTTGGTATCCGGGTCAACCGCATGTACGAAATGCTTCAGTGCCCAGAGAGCGTTGAGACGCAGTGCTGCATTGAGAGAATGCGCATGCTCACACAGTATCTTCATCACACCCCGCTCAGCCAGGAGCTGAGATGGTTAGCATAGTCCATATTCACAGAGACGGTTTCAGGGGTTGTATTTACCTCCCTCATGGGGCTGACTTCTGTGACCAAATTGCAAATCGCAGCAGTGGCAGCAACTTGGACATCCACGTCAGGGTGTCTGAGAAACCGAAAGAGAGGCACGGCCACAGCATAGTCAACCAAAGATGTCCTGAGAATACTCACTGACCGTGACAGCATTCTCACAGCATGGCAACCCGCGATTAAGACTGACAGCGGGTTACTGCCGTACCCAGAATTGTGGTCAGATGCGGCTCCGTCACGGATTGGCCCATCTGGTTCATTTGGTTTGCTGCGATCCTTGGGATTTGACGGCTTGCCGGGCGTGGGCGATAATGATTGCACAATGTGAGCGACGACGTCCTCCACGACGAAAGCCTTACGGTATTCGTCCTTGCCAGCCGCCAGAGCCCCTATCGCCTTCAGTGCACTTTCTCGCATCCGCACTCTGTGGGCTAGGAGCGGCGGCTGTCCTTCTGATCCCAGAGCGCAAGAAGGAAGGGTGCTTTCGGTCTCCATCGCAGTGTCGGCCTGTGGTGACCATACCTTAGCGTAGGCCGATGGCGGAATTGGCTCATATGCGTCTTTGAGGAGCTTGCTGAAACATTTGACGGCACCGCAGTCGAAAGCAGCCTTTTGAAGCGGCTCGCTGTCTGTGATTATTCGGGCAAGGATGGCTGGCGTACGCTCCAGTATCGTCCATTTGAGCGCCGCATCTGCATCGACCAGAGGAGACTTCACGACTGGAGGTGCTGCCTGAAGCTGTTCGAGCATCTCCATAAGGACAGGAACAACCAGAAGGCAGAGACTGGTCTCTCTCAAATACTTGCTGCCAAACCCAGACCTGAAAAGTGAAGTGAGAAGGTTGGCAGCCATCAGCCGATCCAGACCCTGTCGCGATCTGACCAAAAGTATCAGCCACGGTATCAGAGGAGTTTCCTGTTCTTCTTCCGGCTCCGTCTCGTTTCCGAACAACTCGAACCGGGAAGTCTCCCACACAGAAGCTGTGGAGCTGTATTTGCTTGCGGCTGAGCGAGCTCGCTCCCGCGCCTCGGACGAACTCAGAGCTGGAAAGTGTGATTGCTGCGAACCAGGGATTCGGCCTTGATGTATGGGGATGGCGGGTAGTAGGTAGTCCAGAGCGCTGAGACTCTGCTGGCGCGCGTATCCGAGACCGCTGACCTCTAGGGAGTTCCAAGGCGCTCGGACTTCCTTTGACGGGTTGAATTTCAGAGCAGGAAAGATGGCCATGATAGCCGGCGAGCATAATAACATGCAGGCCCTGAAGCGAGAATCCGAGATGATGACAGTCAAGGCCTCCAAGATCGACGCCAAGTTTGAGCTGGACGGTGCTGGTTCCGGAATGAAGTCCGACATCCGATCCACCCGACCGAACACTTCGGCGTAGGGAATAACATGTCCTTCAGCAACTGCAATGCTTGCCAACCGGGTTGCGAGGGAGTCAATCACTCCTTGATTTGCCATGGCCAATTGGTGCTTCTCATCTCGACACAAATGGCTTATAATGCTCGCCACTAAAGGTACTTGAATTTGTTGCTCGGACGCAGTTGCAGTGCTGGAAAGTATGCTATTGAAAGAATCGATGTGTTCGGATGCGAAGATGGCCTCGGCCAACGCTTGCATATCTATTGGCGAACTCGTAGTTGACAAAATAGAAGCTTCGATGATGTTGAGGAGGACGCGTAGTGCCGTGGTGACGAGCAGAGGAGCGTTTGTAGTTGGACACACGTTGTCCAACACGGCTGGCAGCGCGCTCGCAGCTAGCAGTGGCTCGACGAAAGCAGTGCCTCCTGGAGATGATAAAATTAGTTTGAGAACTTATCAAAAAGCTGGAGAATGTGAGTGCTACCATTGGCAAAGCTCGCCAACAATTGTAGAGCCTGAAGCCTCACTGTTTCTTCCTCGTTCAACCACCGAGAGTTGGAGTTCGGGCGGGTGTCTTTGCCGTTGACCTTGGCCGGCGACCGGGAAGCATTGAGAATCTTGACAATGGGTTCCAGTGCGCCTAGCTCAGCCCACATCTCCTTCTTCTGTGCGTGCCCGACAACATCGTTCTTGAGAGTCCGTAGCGCGCTCGTTTGTTCGGTATAGCTCCTTGCGCTCTGGAGCTGCGAGAGGATTGGTGGATTCGACGTGCGTGTCATGATGAAAGTTGTTTCTATCTGTCGAGGAGCTCGGCTATGTGTTGTCGTCGTCGACCAGCGCGTCGTGTACTTGCGAGGACAGAGTGGTGCTGCTGCGGCGACGGAAGTTGCGTCAGAGCCCCAAGGTCCCTACGAACCGGTCGACGGTCAGGCAAACGTGAGTCGAGCTATGCGTCGGAAGGACAACAGATTCTTCTCTAATTCATGTATCGATAAAAAGTTGCTATACGCTGTGGATGGGTTCCAAAGTTGTCGGGAGCTTGGGTTAGAAAGTCGGATGTCCATGGACAGAAGACCAGGACGTCGTTCGCAGGATGGATCGCGGTTGATCACCTCAAGACAGGGCCGATGGTCTGGGAGACTGGGTGATTATCGGGCGTTGGCATTGGGGTATGGCACGTGCATTTCTCTTATCGCGACCAGCCGTTTTCAGGATTCTCACATGCTAGCTGAAGCTTGGGTCACCCTTAAGTGTCAGTGCGGAAGCCTGTGCTGTGCTGGTGCTTGCCCGTGTTCTCGCGGTTCTTTAGCGATGAACGGTCCTGCTGTCTTCAGTGTGAACATTGAAGAAGGTTTCATGCTCTTTGATTCATCTAGATAGAAACAGTAAGTAGAAGAATTCTATGGGCGGTTTCAAGGCCAATATTTCTTCTATCTAAAGGAGATTGCTCTACTGGACTTCGTGAGTAGGAAAGAAAAAAGGATGAGATACTGAAGTAAGGTAGGTGGGTAGGAACAGGTAGTTGGCAACTCTAACCATCCCCCGCATAGCTGATTGTAACACCGCTTGCCTAGTTGTCTCCTTCCACCACGTCGATACCCCACATGGTGTGGCTTACACATGGTAAATTTCCCGAAACAGAATTGCTTGCCACCTGGATGAAGTTGATCTGATCTAGGAGCATCCAGCTCCTACCATCATGGAGGGAAAACACGAGACTGACAAACCTTCCTCTGGAGATTCATCCAATGAGACATTTCTTTGTAATTTGAGGGTCGAATTGGTGGTTTATGAATGATTTCCGCACCACATAGAGGCCCTCATTGTTTGAACCAAGATATGTCTAGAGCTGAGTGATGAAGTGAGATGGTAAACTTTTTACCATTATTGGGAGTGGGCAGTAACAGGCCGGCAAAGATCCGGTGAGCATCTACCTAGAGCTAGATGACTTTTCAACGACCTTGGACAATTACAGCGAATCGGTATAAGTCCTTTGTCCATCTGCTGAAGACAATGGTGTTTTGAGTCGGCTGTACTGAAAACCTGCATCAATATTATTTTCTCAGCTATAAGCATAGAGAAATACGTAGGGAAACTGTTGGTCACTTCTCCGTCTATACAACTGATTTTCAAGCCCAAAATAAGGTAGATTTAACTGCTCAATTGAAAAGTGTTCAAAAGGTAGGACGAGTTTGCGACTTGCTTGGGCACCCATGTGGTTAAGCTATTCCTTGTGTCTCTTGACAGGCCGATGCCCATGTTTCTCGCATAGGTAGGCCAACCTTGAGGGTGACTTGGAGCCTTATATGGCCAAGGTCAGTCCCTTTGTTTGCAGAAGCCGATGCTCTCCGTGAAGCACTGCGACGTTCCTCCGTAATACACAGCACGCCGCCGACATCAGTTAGGATACGCACTGCACGGCTCACAATGCCGAGCAACCATGGATTATTCGATTGAAGCGCGAGACAGGGGCGATCTGACCAAGATAGGAGCTCGATCGTGAGATGAGGGGTACCAGGCGTGAGATAATAAATCACATCTGAAAATTGGACGACTTATGACGGAGATTTCATCGGCGAGGGGTTCCAAGTACATGATAAGAAGCAATAAAACCCGCAGTAGCAGCTGACCGCAGACCGTAACGGCGGACAGCCCCCGTACGGCGAACAACTTCCTACATGGTACACAAGATGATAAAGGCCCGGAGAGGTTGTCGCGGAGCATGCTGGATCCCTTGGTGGAACATGTCAGCGCCATAACTCCATTCTCCGCGCTCCGAACCTAAGCACCTAAGCGTGTGCTTGATTCGAGATCCACTGGTTCCTCCGTAAATGATGGTCTGAACCCGCATATCCGTCGAAAAATTTGAGCCGCCTAGACTCGACGGCGCCTCCGGCCCCAGGCTACAAACTGTAACCGGCCAGGTCCCTGTTGGCATTACTGTGGGAGGGCCGTGGCGGCCCTGCGTAGCCGTAGAAGGGTTGCAGCGCCGGGGCCAGAGCAGCGTTAGTGGCATGGCTCGGTGTCCCGAAGCAGAAGAGCGGCCCACCTCTGACATTGAATCAGCGTCGGGAGGGCCTCAAGATGAGGTGGACGAGATGGCGCAATGGGCGGCTTCCAGGGCACGCAGGGCCAGGAGAAAAGCTCTGCAGGGCCATGTGCTCTACCAGTATGTCATGACCGCCCGGAAACACGTTCAAGCCCATTCCCTGGCGTTGCGTTCTGTCTGGAGCCGGAACTGGGGTACTCTGTAGTGTAGAACTAACTGTAAGTGTACCTTACCTTACCCTACGAATACGCAGGTATACCGTATAAGGTACGGAAGGTGGATGAGAAGTGCGACGAGACTGAGAGAAATCAGTGACAATCAGAAAAGCACGTTTTCGCTCACGTACAGATGTCAAGACTCTTCCCCACTAACCCACAGCAGACGACTGGCTCACCGGCGCGAGCGTGGTTTGCTTGGCTTGGTGCCGAGACCGCAGAAAATCAGATTCGCGCCCCTCCACGTCCCAAGTTCTTGGCACCTCATTGGCAGCCCCGGCTATCCCACTGGTTGGCGACTGGGTACTGTGGTACGTAACTAAGGTACTTGTCTACCTAGGTGGGAACACTATCCTGGGCAGTCAGGACGGAAGGTGCGATTGCCTGGGGGCTCTTGCCTCGCACATTGGATGCCTTCATCAACCGTCCACTCTTTTTTTCCTCACTCGTGACCGTCCTCTTCCTGTTCACTCGCTTCCATCGCTGATGTTGATACGGGCTGGCACTGCTACTGCTATCATACTGGACCTGGTGCCGACCTGCCGTCTAGACGACTCCTACCAGCAACAGCCGTATCAAAGGGGGTGACTTGCCAATATCGGACAGCTGTAGCGCCAATCCACCTCAGTTCCCCCCTCCCCAGCCTGGCCATCCTCATCGCCTAATACCTTATCCCACGCGCACCACCACCACACGGCGTCGGCAAACCGAGCCCCTCCACTCCTCATCCCGGTTTTTTCGACCGTGTGTGGCCTATCTGATTTTGGGGTCTGGCAATCTGCAAATCTGAACCTACCCTATCGACCGCCGCCGAACCGCTACCGCCAACAACTACACCTCACACTTGGTATTACCTACCTAACTTACCTTAGCAGCGCCTACCTACCTTACACCACACTCACCTCGCTCACCTTATCCCGCCACTTCAGCTCCAACTTCTGGCAATCACGTCCCATCCGCTCGTTCTGTTGTCCTCGAAATCCCACGATGCGCCAGGGACCATGTTGACAACATCTCCCATCGTCGCCAGCTCCGCCAATGCCTCGCCCAATAGCTTCCACTATGCCCCTACGCGATCCTCCCCGCACTCATCTCCTGCCCGGCTTTCGGCCCCTTTGCCGCGGCGGCACTCTGCATCAAGGTCTTCTCCGTCCGCAGCCTCAATGACCTCACCTTCCTCCCAACCACGCCCACGACAATATGTAGCCGTCGACGCCGGCACCCAATATTCTCCCATGGAGTCTTCTACCCAAAAGGCACAAGATGCCACCGCCTCGCGCACTCCTACCACCGTCCCTGCGACGCCTGTCGAACCCCCGCCGACGCCGCGCCCTCAACCCATAGACCCATCCGCGCCGCAACCGCAACCGCAACCAGAACCCCATCAGCGATCCCAGACAGAAATACAATCACAACCGCAGACCGTCGTGGCACCCGTCATTCGCGAGGCGTCGACTACCACCGCGTCGCCCGGAAAACGTCGAAACTCTCAAGATCCTGCCGTCGCGCAAGCGCAGGCAAGCGCATCAGCAGCGGGCGAGTCGTCGAGCGGCGCGGCTAAGCGCCCAAAGCCCACGGCTGGCCCGCCGAAAATCTTGCCCCAGCGATATGAGCTGTGCAGCACCGAGGATATGGTTGTTCTCATATCCCACATGCTTTCAGAATTGATAGAGACCAACGATGCTCTGGCTCTTCGTTCTGGAAGCCTGACTCGCTTCCACTCGAGGTGAGTAAAAGCCTTCTTTCCCGCCTGTCACCCCTAATTTAGCAACGCTCACTAATCTGAATTTAGAACCGCACCGAGCATCTCGGTACTGGAATATCTCAATAGATTGGCAAAGCATGCGACGCTGACCCCGCCGCTGCTGCTATCTATGGTCTACTATATTGACCGCCTCTGCGCATTATACCCAGAGTTCACTATCAATACGTTGACTGTCCATCGCTTTCTGATCACGGCCGCCACGGTGGCGGCCAAGGGTCTATCGGATCTGTTTTGGAACAATACAACCTATGCACGAGTTGGAGGCGTTAGAGTCGCCGAGCTCAAGCTGTTGGAGCTTGAATTTCTATACAGGGTAGACTGGAAGATCGTCCCGAACCCAGAAGTCCTTGTGGCTTATTACCGTGGCCTTGTTGAGCGCTGCCCAGGATATGCATTGCAAGAGGAAGAAGCAGAAGCGATTGACGAAGATGAAGATTCTGACGAAGTTGAAGATGATGGTTCGACAGAGATTTCAGACGGAGTCGCTGACGACAGCGGAGACTCGCCGGACGAAGAGAGCCCGGCTAAGTCATCGCATGGGGATGAAGCAGGGCCGTCGCAGCCCTCATAACGGTCATCAAGAGAGTTTCAAGGGTAAATCTTTGTTTATCAATTCCATTTTGTTAAAAAAGGGCGGGCATCACTGCTGCCAGAGAGGCATGGCAAAGCGGCGTTTGGAAAGGTGGGATGTTTTGAATGGTTATGAGTGATAGCGGTAATGAATACCACACTGTTCTGAATGATTCTATAATCATGTGCGATTTAAATTCGATGACATGCTGCATCATTATGCATCAAAGACTGCCAACACTCCTTTGCTCAAGAGAAGCTTTCGGAGCAGGCCAGTTGGTGATTATTTGGGGGCAGACTGAGTGAGTCTGGGGTTCAGGCGTTCGTTCAGCCGACTTTACCCCGGGCAACCTTCAACCCAGCAGAGCTCCATAGAACTTCACCCTCCAGCATCCTACCCCCATCTGACAATTGCTCGCCGCATTTGAACCTCAACACATCTTACTCTGCGCCATTCTCCCAAAGCGCAAATTGCAAAAGGGGTGCTACATACACATACCCACGAGGAAATCAATCGGCAAAGATGCGCGCGACAACAATCCTATCAGCGCTCTTCGCAGCGACCCTCGCCGCCGCCGAAACCCGCCTCGCAAAGGTCTATATCGAACCTGTCTCCCTCGCCACGAACCAGAAGCCGACCCTCCTCGCCGAGGTCGAGTACGACACGAAACGACCCGCCGAGGCGAGCGTGACCTCCTTCGAGGCCCCCGAGCTCGCCGACTACCCGGCCGCGACGAAGCTCGTCCGCGTCGGCGTCTACGATGCCGTCAAGGCGCAGTGGACCTCGAGCGTGTCGGTCGCTTCGACGGAGAACTTTGCCAAGGGGTACCAGCCCAACATTGTGCTAAGCGTCGACGGTGCCTCGGGCGAGGTCGTGGGTGCGGGTGTGAAGGGCGTACGGGTCGACGCGGGCGCGACGAGGGATTTTGGGCCGCAAGCTGTTGTTAGGGTCGCGGGGCAGGGAAAGACGCCCGAGTTGAATAAACCTGTTGTGTTGAGCCCCGAGGGACGCAAGGTTGTTCAGGAGGAGAAGCCGTTTTGGCAAAAGTATGTTGTCTTTGCCTCTTTCCGTTCCCTTGGGCTATGAGTGAACTTGCTAACGTTGACTTTGCAGGTACTGGTGGTTGATTGCGATTGTCGTCTTGATGACTGTCACTGGTGGAGGAGACGGAAAATAGACGAAATCACGGCGATGAAGATACTTTAATAGACTATTTCACGTTCATCCGCGAAGTACCTTACTCAGTTGATGGCATGGTGTCGGTGCCCATGATCCTGCTTCCATCGGTATGAGAGGATGTGCCTAGTCTCAACTGGCCTTGGAGAGCTTCAGAGCAATGTCCATTGTTCTCAGTCTTCCCGGCTTAGAAGAATGTCTCACTGGCCCAGTATAGAGTTAACGTCAAAAGACATCCACAGTAGATATCCAACCGCATGGCAAAGATCCGGCACTGATTTGGTAGCCAGGACATACTCAGTGGCTTCTCTTCACAAGTCTCGAGATATATCTTGACACCTATCAGGATCAGCTAACTACCTTAGGTGGCATTCCAAAAAAGAAGAATCCGTTCGGGCCCGGAATATAACAAACTATTATCCCAAAGCCTCACAGCCCATGTTTGCCCATACGTAAGGCATTGGAAGCTTCAGATGAGAGCTCACAGCGTAAGCACCTGGCAGGTTTGACATGGCACGTGCGCGGCAGGCGATTCAGCTCTAGCCCAATACGAGGCTAGCGCTGGTTGCCCAGAGACGGGGCGTGGGAGCCTGTGGCCTGCACACCACACAAGCCTTGCGCGGAAGGCACTCCTTCCTCGCAGGCACTGCAGTCTTAAAAGCTGGGACCAGGACCAGGGGGAAGGTACGATCGAACTGATAAACCCATCGATTTGCCTGCGCAAAGTTGCACCTCCACTTTCCTTTCCCACCTACCTTACCTTCGTACAACCCACCCCCTACCTTTCCCAATCCAACCAAAACTTTTTGCGACAAGCAACTTCTATTATTCTTCACTTTCTCCCTTTGCGCAAAGACTCGACAGTACCACGCAGCATCCACGAAACAGACACAATGGCCGCCGAGAACGAGAACGTCGCTGCTGGCCTCGCCGAGGAGACCAAGGGCAAGGGCAAGGCTGTTGCCCCTGAGGAGCCCATCGAGAAGAGCGACGCCATGGACGAGGACGAGGACTCCAGCGATGAGGAGGAGGCCCCCGAGGCCGCTGAGGCTGGTAAGAACGAAACCCCCGGGCTGCTATAATTCTACTGCGCACCTGCGAATTCCTGTGACTAACATGTCTGCGAATCACAGTCGAAGAGGAGGACGGCATGGAGGAGATTGACCTGAACAACATTGTCGAGGGCGGTCGCCGCACCCGTGGCCGTGTCATCGACTTCGCTAAGGCTGCTGAGGAGAACCCCGCCGAGGAGGAGGATGACGAGGACGACGATGACTTCGCGGCCGACGAGTCTAAGATGGATGAGGACTAAGGACTAAGGAGCGAGTCCATTTTCCTCCTTTTTCTTACGACCTTCGCACATCCTCCCTTGGCCTGCCTACCTTTAACATGGTGGCGGCTGTGGGCGGTGGCGATGGTTCATCACCATTCATGACGGTTATTGGGAAACGGCACGACACACACACGACAGAAAACGGAATGCAAAGGAGGGGCGGTGGATGGTTTACACAAAAGTTATAAGAGGGCTTTGATAATCATTTGCATGCCCCTTGCGTCGATGAAAAGACTTGGTGGGTTTGGACATTGGCGGCTGAGAGCCTCGGTTGATATTGCAGCTTGTTTTTTCCGGCGGCGGCAGCGGCGACAATTGTCGATCTGCTGTTGCCCTGCCCACCCTGCCTGATCTTGGTTCGCCGGGATGGCTGTCTATTTTATCAGGCCGTCTCAGCCCGCGGTGTCGCTACCTTGACTACGAGTGCCATGGAAATGAAGATTATGCGACAATGAGCGGTCCCAAATGCGTGTGCATGTTTAGCACCTGTGTAGTGAATGATGTTGTGGGCGTGGCATAGGTTCATGCGACGCCCGTACCTGTGTTTTGCAGCAAAATTCTTGTTAGTCCGGGAAGAGCTTATCCACCTGCCAGCTCGATGGTGGATCGGTGCATGAAGCAGAGCTACAGTAGTACCTGACATTGGGACAACAGGCACTTCCTTGACAGGTTGCGCGTGTATACACTTGGGTTTTTATGACACAGGTGCAGTCAATGTAAACAAAACAATCAGATGTTAGGTGAGGTTCTTCAGCGCAAGTTCTCCGCTGGTGGCTGCGTACGGATTCAAGGTGGCTAAGGTACCTTAAAAATGAGGCGAGTGCCTAACCAAGCATTTAAGATGCTCATAAGCTCTTGGGAAGGTACCTTACCTGGTGTAGGCCCGTCCATTCCTTCCGCTGTCAGAAGCGGAGGGAAGACTTCGAGTCGGAGCCGGACCCAGGAAGGGACACCCGCTTTCAAACTGTACCTGATAGGGTACCTCCTTGTGTCCTTTGATGCCTTGGTCGGGGCTTTTGAGGTTCATCTCCGTTTTCGATTGGATAGCGGGACGACACGTACCCAAATGACTGTTAGCGGGACGGGCTTTTTGGGGAAACTATGGGATTTGTCGGAGTTGCAAGGTAATAGTAGACGTGGACAGGAAACCGAGGGACGTCTCTCCCTCTCTCCCTCTCTCCCGCCCGTTCAGTGTAAAAAAAGGCTAAAGGTAATTTACGCGAACTTCCAGCGTGTCAGGTTCTTCTTGCTCCCCCTTTCCCCTACATGAACCCAGCAAGCTCGCCTCGGTTTCTTCTGACTACCTAACACCCACCGCGGACGTCCAAAGTCAAAAGGAGGGAGTTTGAGCCGCTAAGAGGAAAAAAAGATAGAGATCGCCCAGCCGAGATTCGTCGCATACCTACGAATACCCTGCCCGCATAGCATAGACCCCTGCTCTCGCACACCTTGCCAACCTAACCGGACCGACATTGAATGACAACACAACTCCCAGGGGTTCTAAGAAGGGACAACAGGTATCGCCTTACAGAGTACAAGGGCCAACAAAAAAAAGTTGCTTCTTGTTATTGGCATTGTTTAATTAGCACCTAAACACCTACACCCCTTTTTCAACGAAACGACACCTCCTCGAGTGTTCGAGACATTCCAACGTACTGTCGCGGACGACGCCCGGTACTACACGCCGACCCAAAATTCGATACTTTTTCCTTTGCTTCGAGGTAGCAGCTGTGCGCGCGCGCGACACAGGACGCGACGGTTAGGACACTATGGCTCAAAGGTGTGTATACTGGACTCGACAGAATACCCAGCACACACGTAACGCATGCGGTTCGGAATCGCTCGATGGGTAGCTGCGGCTTGCGACGTCCTTGCATTACGAGGCGATTCCCAAGATCATAGAGAAAGGGGAGGAGATTCGTCTTGGGGAGAGCGAAGTAGCGATGACGGCAGGCCCCCCCTCGATCACGAACTCTCTGCAAGACCGACGAGCAGAACCACCAGCGAGACCGTATCGACCGCCCATCTTGCGCAATGACACATGGCATTCACAAGTGGAGAAGCATGCAGGTAGTGGGCTAACTCATTATGACACACAGATTCGGCGCCTCCTCGCTGCACCAGCGCGACTCTCGCAGCGCGCTCTTCGAAGGCTACACCGGCGCCGGCGGCAGCGACAACGGCCGGCGACCCGTCAGCGCCTCGCCATCTAGACTGGGCGGTGGATATGGATACGGGTACGCGGGCGGCAGCGCATCACCTGCGCCGCCCATGGGCGGTAGCCACCTCGGTATTGACGCGAACCGGGGGTTCCGGCCTGCGACGCCGAATAAACGGTACGGAACGAGACACCCCTATAGCCCCTCTGGAAGATCCGCTTGTGAGGTTAACAGAGATTGCGGTTGCTATGGGACGACTGGAGAAGCGGAGGAGAAGCACTTTAAACTTGGGGGCAACTTGCTGACGGGTGTGACATATCAGGGGCCAATACAGCGACGCCGTGCTAAACGAGCTCGAGAGCCAGAATGACGAGCAGGTCGCGGGTATCATGGGCAAAGTCAAGATCTTGAAGAGCGTAAGTTCACATCTTCTCCCATGCAATGTCTCCAGACGCATAGCATATCACTAAACCACGAGGCGCGCAGATGACGGTAGCCATTGGTGACGAGATTCGCGACTCCTCGGCCCTGGCAGAGAAGATGAACGACAGCTTCGACTCGACGCGCCTGCGCATCCGCGGGACCATGAACCGCATGCTCGTCATGGCGGAGAAGACGGGCGTCGGCTGGAAGGTCTGGCTCGGCTTCTTCGCGGCCGTATGTTTCTTGTTCATGTACGTCTGGCTATTCTAAGAGCGAGGCCTTGATCGACGAGAGGAAGCAAGGGACAAGACGACACGCGCGACTCATTGTTTAGATTGGGGAGATGAGCGTGATTGCGGACTACCTCTACAAGCTTGGGACTGTTCGAGCTCGGAAGGGTGAACGGCCTTCTGCTACGTAGGCTTTACCGAGGCTGTCGACACGGGGGAACGCTGCGATCTCAGGAGACTAAGGTCAAAGGGATTGTCCATGCCGAACATCCTCGTCGTAAGAAATGAGGAAGTCAATCTTAACGCAAAAGGACAAGACAACAAAGTCTAGCTGGGGAAGAGGGGCGAAGGGAGAGTGGCAGGCTTCAATAGCCTTCCCGGAATGGTGCGGTGCGTTTGGTTGGGAAGCAAACCCATTATTCTTGCATGCTCGGCGTCGGAGGCGTTTTCTAAACGGTTCTATTTGCCTGGAATCATCTTCATTGAATGGGGGTGAGAGAGAAGGTTGAGAATCTCGTGGAGGGCCCGACAACTTTCTATTCCCTTTTCAAAGCATTGAGGACATGAGGAAAGAGATGAACGATCACGAAAGGACGTCCCGATACGAACTAAATATGGACAAAATGGCAGAACGGCATGGTCCCTTTCTGCTGTGGGGGTGCGATGTCTCCTGCGTACATTCGAGAGGGAGAGAAGGGTGAGAAGAAGGCGCGATTTCTCCTTCACTTGTCAAGTATTGGGACACAAATTAAAAGTTTTTGTAATAGCCGTGTGTACATACATCTCTTTTCTATTTCTACAAACCTTTCGACACCGAGTCTCTAGTGCTGGTGACCTTCTACGCTTCGTAACTTCGTGGTATGTGACGGCTGACCCGCTGCAAGACCTCATAAGGAGTCTAACTGCCATCCCAATTCTAACAACAAGTATAGGGCTTGATGACCGAGGGGGTGAGCGTCGTGAAGTCTTGAGTAGTCCGTGATGCTCCGTTGCTATTTCTGGGCTCCGTCGTTCGAACTTTGGCCGACTCCTGTTATTTTTTGCCTTTTTGCATTTCTGTCAAGATTTCTAATTGAACCTTTATTATTGCCCTAACGCCTCGGAGTGGTGTATGCATGTTATGCTTCTAAGAAGACTCGTGAACGCGAGAACATGTCCACGTCTACCACTGCATGCCTCTCAAAACAATGTATGGGAACGGGTGGGGGGTATCATAATTCCATCTTCCTCTGTCCTTCCCTCCCCATTTTTCACACCCCCCTTAACGCCTATGAGCCCTCATGTTGGGACTACTATCCATCATACTACTCCCATCCGCAGAGAGCAACCCGCTGAGATCCAAACTACTCCTCGGCATATGATGATGATGCCTTGCAGCACCAGCAGCGCTGCCCCTCCCTCGATCACCAGTAGGACTCAACGGAGCCCTCAAAGGCGCAGCCCTTGGTGCAAAACTGATGTCACCTTCCTCATCGTCGTCGTCTTCTTCCTCTTCCCCACCACTACTGATAACACTACTCGTCAACCCGCTCACCTCGGCCTCGGAATCCGTATGCTCATACACCCCGCTCAGCCCCTCGGCCTCGGGTATCTCATCGTCGAGGTCGGCGTCCATGTCGACGCCCATACCCAAGTCGTCGTCATCGACAAGGCCCTCAGCGGCAAAACCGTCCTCGAGCAGGTCCTCCTCGTCGAGCATCTGGCCCTGGCCCGAGGCCTCGAGCTCCTCCTCGGCGCCGTACATATCTTCGCCGTCGACGTCACCCCGCGCCATGGCCTGTCTGAAGGCATCGTCCGCCATCCGCATCCTCGCCGCGACGAGGCCGTCACGCCTCTCGTACTCGTCCTCATCCACAGCCGTAGCGTCATCATCTTCATCGTCCTCGTCCTCGTCGTCATCCTCCTCCTCAGTCTCCTCATCATCATTATCATCAAGAGAAAGAGGCCGCCCCTCACTCGACGACAAATCATCCGCCATACTATCCTCCCCACCATCAAACCCAAAACTATCCTCCGCAGCATCCGGAATCTCATCATCCAGATCCCTCACCTCCTCCTCCTGCTCCCCATCCTCCCCTTCCCCAAGCACACCCAACCCCCCATCATCATCCTGCCCGCCCGCCTCCGCCTCAGCCAGCTCCAGCGCAAGCTGCTCCCGCCGCATGGCCTCGGCGTGCTCCTCCTGCTCCCGCCGCTCCTCGCGGATCTGGTGCAGCGTCTTGGGCACGCCGGGCGGCTTCAGCCACGTGCTCCCGAAATTTTGCACGTGCAGCCTGCGACGGTCCATTGTGTGCTCGTCGGCGCGGAGGCGTGCTAGCGCGGACCTTTCTATGAGGAGTTGGCCTGCGCGGCGGGAGGAGGAGCTGTTTTGTTGTTGTTGTTGTTGCTGCTGCTGTTGCTGTTGTTGTTGGGCGGAGCCATGGTGGTTATTGTGTTCGTGGGCTTCGAGGAGGGCGGCTTGAGTTATTGGGTTGCGGGAGGAGGTGTACCAGATCGAGTGTGACTATTGGTTAAGACGTCAGATGGCTGTCGCGATAGTTGCATGGGCCCCAAGATGGATGGTCTTGGAGATGTCAATAGAGGTAGCAGAGCTTACGTCTCGGGGGGTGAGGTCTGGTAAGAGGCCAAACATTGTCATGTGTAGGGTGCCCTCAGGCAATGATCCAGGATCGTGGGGTTTTCAATGACTTGATGCGCGTTCAAGAATTGATGTCAGAGACAGCCGATTGGAAGCTATTTCGTAGCTGTCGAGAGCTGTCGCAAATGGCACATGACCCCGCTGCAAGTTGCTTGTCGCGAGGTTGCAAAGAGTAAACAATTCAACAGTACGTACTCGCCGGGGGTGTCAGGGTCTACCCCACACTGGCAGACGCGCCGCGCCTAGCGCGCTTAATCCCTGCGAAGCAGAAGTCACGATGCTTCATTGCGGGCGGCAGAAATGTGGTCGTCTGCCTCACAAATTCAACGACATGTCTTCAGCGTGCCATAGTATAGCTCAGTGACGATCGCTTCATTGCAAGGTAACGTGTGGGTGCCTGCGAGGTTGCCATCTCCGTGCCCCTCCATCAAGCTAACAGTAGAGTATTTGAAAAATAAAAATATGCTCAAACCCAATTGAGAGTCTCCGCCAGTTTGGCCGAATGACTCTTCCCTCCGTCGGGACTTAGACCCAGTTCCCACCACAGAACTGCTGTACGGCCTGCCTCGCATAAATCTCAGACCAAACTCGTTGAATCTGCGGTCCTTGGTTGCTAGGTTTCATCCAGACTGCGTGGGCTCAGCCTTCAGGCGCCTACGTCTCCTCGTCTCCAAGGAGGGTTTACTGTTTTCGTTTGGTAAGAAAAAGCAGGGGTGGTGGATTTGTTTTCCGTCTTTTTGCATTCTCTGCGCTTCTGCGTCGACTCTCGTCTGCCATTGATTCGCATAGCGACGGGGAAATGAGGGACCAGCGCATTCGCCCCGCGCCGCTCTGATGTGTCTCGTCGGGAGAAGTCGGAACAGCGCTGACTTCGGAGTTGCTGGCATTGGCTGCGCAGGTGGAGGTTTCAAATGCCATATTTCCGCTTTGTGGGAATTCCTCGCGGCCATGGGCTGACTCGAGTGGACTCTCTCTGCTGCCCGTTTATTTTTTCGCTTCTGTCCTAGACCTACTACCGAGCAACTAAGCAAGACACCCCCTTGCAAGTTGGTATGGATTGGGTCTGAGGGCGTGGCCGCCTCCGATATAGGTCCCAGAACGCCAGCCAGGGGTTACATCCGCCCGGCCCTAGTTAGGGTGAACGGCCGAGCCGACTTCGGGGGGGCTTGGTTAGCGCTATGGGTAAATGGCAGATGCCATGTCGGACCCGTCACCCAGCTTCGCTTCGTCGTGACAAACTCCACAAGGACGTGTAATAATGGGTGCGTAGCAACCATTCCCAGAGCCAGACCAGACATTTATAATTCCTGTTGTTCAAGTTGCTGACCAGAAGCCCGCTAAACATGCTCCGAGTATGGGGCTTGATATGTCACTGACATGTGTAGCCGGACAATTGATTTGTGACTGGAATCACGGAGCTGTTCATTCGTCCCCCTGTTCAAGCCGACCGTACGGATCCAATATGAGACGACTTCCTATAATATTGAAGCGTCATTGCTGCTCAAATGCGGAGATGATGGAGGGTTGCTCCAGGAGGGCATAGGTGATCGTAACCGCTTCCAGGTCGTAGTTTCTGTCCATCCAGATCAAGGATGCAGACACGTGCTGGTCGACAGGCTAACCTGCGAAACCCTAAGTCAGTCCCGGAACGACCAGCTTTTCTCACAAACTTTAAACCCAGAGAAAAAAAATACCTATGGTATGTACTTGCGTACGTGTGTGAACAAGCATCTTTTTGTGCACATCGGTGACATTCGTGACGTAGTCCATGCATGCGTCGTTCCCAAGCGGTTCATCACCGAGTGCGGATGGTGGCTATAATGTGGCTGGCATGTTTGTGCCGCTTCTCAGCAGGCTACCTTGGACGTTGGAATCCCGTCGGAGATGCCCCCCTCATTCTCCTTTTCTCCCCCTCCCCTCCAGCTCTAGAAGCCAAGAAACCATGGACGTCTGTGCGTGGACACAGACAGGGTCGTGCTGAGCAAGGAACTGTGAGATCTCGAACGCCTCCGGTCGGCGGGGTCGCATTTGGCATGGATGTGCCGACTAGGGGGATACCTGGCTTGCTATAGCTCAAATGCAGATGCAGCAAGCGGCCATCATGGTTGGCTCAAGATAAGACGTTTGAAGATGAGGCTCTCGTTGTGATTGGCCGGCTTCTCCAATTTCAAGTTGTCGATTTTTTGACAGCAACCCATTTCGAGTTGGGCAACAACTGTTGATGCTGCAATGCAGTCAGACGCCCAACTCACCAGTTGATGATATGCCGGAGAAGAGGGTGACTAGTTGCCTTTTCGAGTGCCATTCTGTACATACAGCAACGGAGCGTTGTTCCCATCTCATCTCTCTGCTGTTGCGCCGCTCCTTGTCTGCATGTGCTCGGTGCAGCCCGCCATTGGTTAGCCTTCCCGTAAAGCCCGTATTGCTTGCAGTTGCGGCGTGCGTCGCGCCTGGAACATCGCTCTGGAGGAGCAGACCGCAGTCAAGCTGCGTCCTTCTTCTGAGCGGATTTTGTATTGGGGGGGGGGGGCTCATTTGTCAGTCGGTCCGTCCATCGGTTTCCGTGATCTATGCCGCCGCAGGCGCTTGAGGAGAAGACATAGGTCGCAGTCCAGATGCCCCTGGTCCTTCTTCGGCCGCTGCCGTCCAGCCGGCCGTGGGCACCACCAAGTTCCGTAGATCGGAGGGCTGATAGGCAAACAAGAGATATACCGACCACTCTCATTCGTGAAAGGGTTTCGGGAACAGCTCGGAATTCGCGCAACATCGAGTCCTTGACGCAACTTGGTTGATCTCAAGAATCGCCATCTTTTGGAACTGCCCCGGCTGATAGTGCAGCAATGACAGATAGCGCATGCAGGGCTGCGAGACATTGAAGCCAGCCCAGTTGACAGATGCTGGTTCTGCACGCTAGCAATGTATTAACAAGCAAGTCTCCCATCAGCATGTGCAAGCGCGCCTTTGAAATGGAACAGATGTTCAACACCATCCCCTCCCCCAACTTGCTCCCCCAATCACTTGCATCGATGCTGGATTGGCCCTTGTCCAAGAAGGGTCCGGGTCCAATTCCTTGGGGGCATCCTGCGGTTTATCAGGGGCCCCAAGATCCGAGGCGACTTCGGCCAAGGGCTTCTTTGAAATGCAAGTCGCTGATTGGTACAAGCTCAAAGCTTGCTCGTTGATGACATTAACCTTTCAACGACTCCGTTTCGAGAGGGCAAAAAACGACTGGGTACCCCCTGCTCGGCCCGCATGGAGTGTGTGGGGTGCATCTCTGCTGCTGGATTTGGCCGAGGCGCTGGGTTTTTGTGTCAAAATTCTCTTACACACAGTATTCCGCAAGCGACGCTTGAACGGAAAGGGAACCGCCAGAGAGGCCAAGAAAACCATAGAACGTTGCTGTCCGGGATGTGCGGAAGAAGTTTGACCGTCCACAGCCGTGTCTGGTAGGACGCAGCACTGCGTACAAGTCTCGGGTGTCTACCCGAGATGGTCCTTGTCGGCGACTTGAGCAGAGAAAACGCAGCGCTGAATGGCATTCGGAATGCATCCGAAGCAGAGTCGCAAGTGCGCACAGCGTTTGATCCGCAGGGCAAGGTAAGGCATGGCGGTCTATGTTTTTCTGATGAGTATTGGAGCCCAGCAGCGGGTAGAAAAAGCCATTGATTCACGGGATACGCAGCAGAAGGCTCCGCTCGCCTCCGGCATCATATACACGGGCCCGATCTTCTTCACGTTGCTCGATCCGAAATTGGGTCACCGCCATTGGCCAAGACTCTCAGGCGGAATATGGGATATGGCTCCCGAGGCGTGGTATCCCCTAGCGCTAAGTCCGGGCGGAACATCCGAACGGAATGAAATGAAGGGAAGCTGTGTTTGTCGGTCAAAGGACGAGTTTATGGAGTGCCAATTTGACCCAAACACTGTCAGCAGCGTCGACCTAGCAAGATGAGGAACGCTTTCTGTCGTCATCCATGTTCCCCCAGATGAGGCGACCGGGTTGTATGTTAGGTAACCTGGAGTCTTACCTCGAGATTTTGAACCCAATGTCGTTCGACCAACGATGAAGAGAAAAGAGAAGCCAGTACCTTTTATTGCGGATTTGGGGTGAAGCGTTGCGAGGCCGGTAGTACGGCGTGACGGAATACCCAACGGTCAGGGGAGGACCCCGCAGAGCAACGTTGGCACGTCCACCGTGGTGGGAGGGACCCAGTTAGGATAATGGAGGAGGAGGTGGTGGCGCATGGGGAAGTAGATTGGCGGCACGTCTTGCCTTTGGTGGTAGCATGAGACGAAGGTTTGAAGCAATACCTACTGTGGTAGAGAGACTGGCGAGGAAGCGCGAGGTGGTGAGTGGGTGGATCGATTGTTAGAATGGTGGGTGATGGGTGAGCCGACGGGGAGGAAAGTCGGCCGAGGTTGACGTGGCGGAAGATCATCAACATCCTGAAGATTGAAGTGTGAGTGAGGGCGCTCTGGGGAAGCGTGGGATGCCGGGAGTAGTTGCTAGGTAGCATTCAAAAGCCGAGACATTGGCCTGAGAAGGCTCAGATTGACACTACAAGCGTTTGTTCTTTCGATGAGCTGGCTGCCAATCTCTCAGAACGGCCATTCCCAAAGGCAAGTAGGTGGTATCGATAGTATCTTGCTTCTAGCCGATGTGCGGTGAAATCTGGCATGTGGTTTTTTGGAGGACTCAGTAATACTCAAGAGGGGAGGGGGGCTTTCCATTCCTTTTCCCGAGAGCATGGTCCCCCGTTAGAAGCAGCGTCGTTGGCAGCCGTGGTGGTCGATTGTCGGACTGGCCTGGAGTGCGGCGTGCCAGAGCCGTGGAGTGGCAGAATGGTGCGCTGGACCGGTCCACTTCCAGGCCATGCTCACCCGTGGACAGGCCACCTGGAAGGGGTTATTTCCAAGGTTTGTTGCATGGTAGCAGTCGAACAGTAGCGGGCTTCCCAGGTAATGTCGTGGGAGGCAACGAGGCTAGCAAGGTGGTGGTATGGTGGAAATGGTAGCATTAACTTGGATGACCAGGGGGCAGTGGAGAGGAGCGGCGAGCCCACTGAAGAGAGATGGATCATGGACCGAAAAACGGAGCACGAGAGAAGACGACGCATGGCCCATGGACCGGAGGCGGGGCGGAGAGTGGCACCCGCAAGCAAACCACGGGTCCCGTTCTGTTAGTGCGCTGTCGAAGAGTCAGAGATTTGGAGACTCTCGCCAGGCGCCGCCAATGGGAGACATACGTGTTGGATTGATCGATGCATTGATTGGACCGCGCTTCGCCCTGCTAAGGTATCCGTACGTTGTTCGGACCCCACCATGCTACGGAGTATGGTTTTGTCTTACACCTTCCAGTCTGCTTGATTTTCGAAGAAGCGTACCTGTCGAGAACAGAAAAAAGGCCACCCTGATGGGATGGGATGGGATGGGAGAGAAAGACCGACACGCCCGAGAGGAAGGCAGCAGCAGCAGCGCACAGACACAGCCGCGCCGTGCACGGAGCCTCTCTCACCGATACGTACCCCTCTTTTGGGCTCTTTCCTCCCGTTCCACTTGCTGCCGCTGCTCTTGCCGCCTTTTTTGCATGACTTCCCGTCTCTCCTTCTTGGTACCCAAGGTACGAGGTCGTGCCTTTCCTTCGCATTCTCATCCCATCTCAGTGCCTCTTGCAGCAACTTGCTACCTTCCCTTAGCTCTTGCATTTGGGGTCGGTACGTACCCCCATCTCATCCCACTTTGTATGCTGCAAACCCCCACTGCTGTTTTTCGGCCCATTCCCCTCTCAGTAAAAGTAGAAACGCGACAGGAAAACCGAAGAGAAGGAGGAAAAAAAAAAAAAAAAGAGGCAGAGCGCATATGCAACACCAGCACTTGAGCCTACTGCACCTCGCAAATTACCAGGGGAGGGGCCGTATGATTTTCTCCAGTAGACGGATATTCTTTAGCCTGCCTGTCTACTTGTACCTTGGCCAGTGGATCAATATTCTGTACAAGAGAGTCGCTGGTTGGCTAAACCTTCCTCTGGTCGGCTCGCCACAAGGTAAGAAAGTAACAGGGCAAGTGAGAACCTGAGCCAGCTCATCGGTCGTCTCTGGCAAGAAAGCACCAGTATCCCGAAGAGGGCCTTCCTGCCGTGTTATTGTCGTTCCGCGCCTCGTCCGCTCTTCGCTCTCGTGCTCCCCGAACCCATTGCCCCATTTTCCTACTAGGTATAGGATGTGCCAGTTCCATGTCTCCATACAGGGCCGTCTTGTTCATCCAAATTGTATTGGCTTCCTTTGCTCTTGCATTCAGGTCTCTTGTCGTTCGGGTGGCCGCCGGCGATCGCCTTCTTCCCATCCATCCTGTTAGTCCCTTCTCGATACCCCCCTTCCAACCACCCCTCCCCCAGCTTGGGCCCAGCGCCGACTCAGGACGTTTACTCCTCCTCCTTCTTCACCCGCTCCTCTCTCTCCCGTCTTCGCCCACACACTTGGGTCGATACACCAAACCTTTCATAAAAGGCTGCCAGTCTCCCGCCTCCCACCTTTTCTGTTTTCCTCTTTCTTCCGCCCTCCCACTCTTCACGCGCGGTGCTACGACGGTAGAAAAGAAACCCTCTCGATCCCACTGCGCAAACATCTCGACCATATTCGGTCCATTACAATACCCAAAGCCTGTCGGTAAGTTATATACGTGTGCTCACATAGGGACCGCCATCTCAAGACCCGAGACACGGTCATGCCATTCCCACTACCTTCCACCTGCCTTGCACACACAATGCCACCAACCGCCCAATTCATCCCAACAGCAAGGCACACAAAGACACGAGAATCGAAGCAGAGAGCTTGAGTACGTGAGAGCAAGCGGAGCGGAATAGACAGAGACACGAGTATCACAAGCGAGACACCGAGAAAGCAGCACTCCAGGAGACCAACCCATACGAAAACGGCAGTGCGAGTCTGAGCCATACTCATGACGAGAGAGCGGCGTTGTCAACAGCAATGGCTCTGAAAAGAGCAACAGAAACTGCAACGGCAATGGCATCTAGCAGCGCATCAATTCGCAGCGATTCTGGCATCTCCGTCCGCCGTCCCAACTCTCTTTCTCCTGGGACAGTCGCACATTCCTGCAGAACGCTACACATGCACCATTTTTCCCTTGGGCATGCGCCTACAACTGCAGACGACCCCACACACCCGTAGGCCCAGACGAGCGACCCCTGGTCGTAATCCCTGTGGATGTGATGTAAGGTCACCGCGGGAATGGAGCTTGCAGTCGCCTATCAACCCCCCAAGTCAAAACAACACACCAAAAAAAAAAAAAAAAAATCTCGGAGGGGTTGTCGGCCGGTGGCGGCCTAGCACGGGCGGGACTGGCGTGTGCAACCATGTGCTTGTTCCCCCATTTCTACGACAGATTGGGGCCGGCTACTGGCGTCACCATTCTTAGCCGCATGCTTTGGCAACAGCTTGCCTCTTATTGGCTATGACTACGGCCCACGCCGGCACCGCATTCTGCAATGCTGCGCTACTGTCACTGGCACTGGCAAAGAGCACACTGACACTGGCGCTGCAATCATCGTCAGCTGTGGTCGGCAAAAAAGAGAGACAGCACCAAACAGCTTTTGGCATCTGGCAGTGCTTGCATTTGCTTGACCCTCCATTGTCTGAGCTGCTTTGGGGTTGTATAGATATGGCTGGAGTCTTGCTTGCCAGCTTCTTGCTTGCTCTTGTCCTAGCCTGCCCCTCCATCTCCGGCTTCGATTGCTTGGTTTGAGCGTTGCTCGCCTCATCTTGCCTTGCTCCTGGAGCCACACTCTGCCGCCATTGCTTGTGGCATGTGCTGCTGCTTGCTGCCTGCTGCCTTTTGCGCATTGTTGCTCGGAATGCTTGTCCGCCCATCTTGGCTCTACGTCGTTGCGAACAGGGGTCGGGAATCAACACCACTGCCAGGCTTTCGCTCTCTCTGTCAGTTTACCTGATGCTCCCACCTCACTTCCGGACGACGTAGCAATCCGGTTCGGGAGTAGAGTTTGTCCTGCTCTGGAAATTTCCCCTCTGGTCCTCCGTGCGTCCCTCGCCAGCTCCGAGCTTAATTGAAGGATATCGCACCCCGCATCCAGTTTCCACCAACGAATTCTCCTCGCCACTCTTCTCCCATTCTTCAAACTCACTGTCAACCATTCGCCTCATCTCTCTTTATCTCTTGCGTGGCTCGAGACCACTCGGGTGCTCTGTGCAACCTTGCGTCTGGCCATTAGGCGTCCACTCCCCCTCATCTCACCACCATCAAATCAACATCATACTTGACCAATACATTTTCGTCCCTCAGCGTCACTAACTGAACCCGTTTTGGGGCGTGATAGATTCGTACCGGAGCCATTGCTCTTACCGATCGACTGCTGCCGACTGGAATAGTCCCTCCCCCGTCGACCTATACCAGCCCCTTCCACTGCAATCAGGCTCGAATCCTCGCCTAGCATGGGCCTGCACGAGGACTTCGACGACCGACAAATCCATATTGAATCTGAAAAAGAGCAATACACCCCCTATGAGTACCAGACGGACAACAATGGCTCCTGGGCGGGTGCTCTGCCGGTGAAGCAGTATGTTTCCTAGCTTACCGCTTTGAATATGTCCATACTGACAATCGAACGCAGAGGATTGTACGATCCGAGCTTGGAGAAAGACGCATGCGGTGTCGGCTTTGCTTGGTATGTCTAGAAGATCAGACAGAATTTTTCTCAACTCTACGCAAGCAACCACTGACACCCCTCGCAGCCACATCAAGGGCAAGCCTAGCCACAAGATTGTCAGCGATGGTAAGTTGAATGATCCCCTTGGCCTAATGTCCGCCCAGCAGCCAAGCTAACCAGTCCCACAGCGCGCAACCTGCTTTGCAACATGACCCACAGAGGTGCTGTGGGATCTGATGCACGAGACGGTGATGGCGCTGGCGTCATGACTTCGATCCCTCACAGATTCTTTGTCAAGAACTTTGAAAAGGAGGAAGGCATTAAGTTGCCGCCTCTGGGACAATATGCCACGGGAAACCTGTTCTTTAAGCCAGACGAGGAGACTTTGCAAGAGTCCAAGAGGCAGTTGGAAGACATTGCCGAATCGTTAGGCCTGCGTGTCTTGGGATGGCGAAGGCCTCCCGTTGACTCGACTCTGCTTGGTCCCGCTGCCAAGTCCCGTGAACCCATCATCATGCAACCTTTCGTCGTGTTGACCTCTGCCTACGGCCCGACCAACGCCCCCGAAAACACCGACCCCGAGCAATTTGATGACAGACTCTTCGAAAGACAGCTGTATGTCCTCAGAAAGCGCGCTACCCACACCATTGGTCTCCAAAACTGGTTCTATCTCTGCTCCCTTTCCAACAAGAACATTGTCTACAAGGGACAATTGTCTCCCGTTCAGGTCTACCAGTACTACTATGATCTCGTCAACGCTGACTACGAGGCTCACTTCGCCCTCGTCCACTCCCGTTTCTCGACCAACACCTTCCCCTCCTGGGACCGTGCTCAGCCTCTGAGATGGGCTGCCCACAACGGTGAAATCAACACTCTCCGCGGTAACAAGAATTGGATGAAGGCCCGAGAGGGTGTCATGCAGTCTGACATCTTCAAGGAGGAGCTCGAGGGTCTCTACCCCATTGTTGAGGACGGTGGTTCCGACTCTGCCGCTTTCGACAATGTCCTGGAGCTGCTCACCATCAACGGCGTCCTCTCTCTCCCCGAGGCTGTCATGCTCATGGTCCCCGAGGCCTGGCAAGGCAACACTCACATGGACCCCAAGAAGGCCGCTTTCTACGAGTGGGCTGCTTGCCAGATGGAGCCCTGGGATGGTCCCGCTCTCTTCACCTTCGCCGACGGACGCTACTGCGGTGCCAACCTCGACCGTAACGGTCTGCGTCCTTGCCGCTTCTACGTCATGGACGACGATCGCATCATTTGCGCTTCCGAGGTCGGCACTATCCCCGTCGAGCCCGAGAAGGTTATTCAGAAGGGTCGTCTCCAGCCCGGTCGCATGTTGCTCGTCGACACCCTCGCCGGCCGCATCATCGACGACAAGGAGCTGAAGGAGGCTGTCTCCAGCCGTCAGGACTTCCGCGCCTGGATCGACCAGGAGCTCATCACTCTGCCCAAGGTTCTCGAGACCGTTGGCAAGTCCATCGATGTTGCCGCCAAGCCCGACGCCTCCCGCCTGCAGGAGGATCCTCTTCTTCTGTCCTTCGGCTACACTCACGAGCAGGTGAGCTTGCTCCTGGCTCCCATGGCCTCTGACGAGAAGGAAGCCCTCGGATCCATGGGTAATGATGCTCCCTTGGCATGCTTGTCTCAAGCACCCCGTCTCCTGTACGAGTACTTCCGTCAGTTGTTCGCTCAGGTTACCAACCCTCCCATCGACCCTATTCGCGAGTCGATCGTCATGTCTCTGGAATGCTACGTCGGTCCTCAGGGCAACCTGTTGGAGATGGACAGCTCTCAGTGCGGCCGTCTCCTGCTTCCCAGCCCCATTCTCTCGATCCCCGAGTTCAACTCTATCAAGAACATGTCCACCATCCACCCCGAGTGGACTGTCAAGGTCATTGACTTGACCTTCCCCAAGAGCGAGGGCACCGCGGGTTACTTGCGCCACCTCGACTACATCTGCAACGAGACTACCGCTGCCATTGAGAACAAGGACCGCATCATTGTTCTGTCCGACCGCAACACCTCCAAGGACCGCGTCCCCGTCACTGCCCTCCTTGCGTCCGGTATGGTTCACCACCACCTGGTCAGCAACAAGTGGCGTTCTCTGGCTGCCATCGTCGTTGAGACTGCTGAGGCTCGTGAGGTCCACCACATGTGTGTTCTTCTCGGATACGGTGCCGATGCTATCAACCCCTACCTCTCCATGGAGTGCATCCTCAAGCTCAACCGCGAGAAGCTTATTAAGAAGAAGCTATCCGATGATGCCCTGATCCATAACTACAAGCACTCTTGCGATGGCGGTATCCTCAAGGTCATGTCCAAGATGGGTATCTCTACTCTTGCTTCCTACAAGGGTGCCCAGATTTTCGAGGCTCTTGGTCTCGACGAGAGCGTCATTGAGCGCTGCTTCAAGGGTACTGCTTCCCGTATCCAGGGTGCTACATTCGAGGCTATTGCTGAGGATGCTTTCCGTTTCCACGAGCGTGGTTTTCCCTCCCGTGCTACTGTCGGTGTCAGCGGTCTGCCCGAGTCCGGCGAGTACCACTGGCGTGACGGTGGTGAGGCTCACATGAACGACCCCACTTGCATTGCCAACATTCAGGATGCCGTCCGCACCAAGAACGACAAGTCCTACGAGGCGTACTCCCGCTCCCAGTACGAGCAGATCAAGGCCTGCACTCTCCGCGGTATGCTCGACTTCAAGTTCGAGGACTGCACTCCGGTCCCCATCGAGCAGGTCGAGCCCTGGACCGAGATTGTGC